CCACCTGCCCCTGGCTGGGGTGAGGGCAATAGCAGGGCAAGGGACAGGGACACATGGTGACTGCCTTGGATTAGACCCTTGATTTCAGTAGTGCTCTGTACCCCAGTGAGGCCAGGGTTTTGGGTGGGATGGGGGCTGGGGCAACCCTGAGGAGGCAGTTCTGGCCTCAGCTTCCTCCTGTGATTCCTAACACCATCCAGTCTGACATCAGGGCAGAGGCATCCTGCATTTAGCACCCCTGCTCACGGGTCACTGTGGCCTTAGCCTCTGTGCATGGCTCCTCTCCTGCCCGGCCCCTGGGTCTGCTCCCCCAGCATCAGGTGGCTGCCATTCCTGCTTTGCTCAGAGCCCTTCTTGGCTCCCATCTTATACAGCAGGAGCTGCTTACATCCCTCCTGGCCTGGGAGCTAAGTCCTTGTTGCCACCTACCACCTCCTGGGACCTCCTCTCCATTCCCACCAGTCACCCTGTGCACTTCACTCCTCTGCCTGCCTCAGGGTAAGCATTGGCTCTTCTGTGTCCCTAAAATACCATAGGAACAGGAAGGAGGGAAGGAGAGGAGGGAGGGTTAAGTGCATCAAGAAGGAGCAAGGGCTGGGGATTTAGCATTTAGCTCAGTTGCATCCTGCCTGGCTGGCAAGTGCAAGGACCTGAGTTCAATCCCTGGTACTGCACGAAAACGAAAGAAAGAAAGAGAGAGAGAGAGAGAGAGAGAAAGAAAAAGAAAGAAAGGAAAGCAAGCAAGCGAGCAGCAGGAATTAACCAGGCAGAGGGGTAAGGTGAAAGGGTTGTGGGAGAGACCCAAGATGGTCTTGCAGAGACCTAGACAAGGCCTGTGTGTGTGGACATGGGAAGAGGCAATGAGAGAGGAGACAAGAGGGAGCAGGGGCTCCACAGAGCCATTACCTCGGCCACCCCCACTTGATGGCTCCTTTAGCCATCAGCCTCCTATCACAGTGACCTGTGTATACCCTGTCCTCCCCAGGTGACTGTAAACATCCTCCAGGTAACACAGTCTTTCTGAGCCTCCTCTGCACCCCAGTGATATCTGCAAGGTGAGAAATAAACAGTGGTAGGATGAACGTGCCCGTCTCACAGGGAAGGAAAACCTGGGCTTATATGAAGTAAAAGAACCTTCGCTCCTGCTTTAACCCTGAACTCCAAGGGGTGGGGATGGGAGGTCCTGTAGGCCAGACTTCGGGAGTTAAAGAGTGTATTTAAAGGAGCTAGCACGGAGAAAGAGAACGAAAGTCTCTGTGGCTTTCCTGGGAGGTGAAACCCTTAGAAACTGGGGTCCTCTGGGAAGCCGGAAGGGCAGAATGGCTTGTCCCACCCCTCTGGGAGTCCTGACACCCCACTTCTGGAACCCAGAGACCCAGCCCTGGTCCCGCAGGGCCTGACTGCTATACCCTGTGTCCCCTCTACCAGGAGCTCCTCTCCCCAGTTTCCAGGCTAGAGGGGGCCACAGGAAGTGGCTAGGCAGCTGCCCAAACAAGGACATGGTGAATTCATCAGGCATTGCCTTTTCCCCATCCTTGCACCACTGTGCTGAGTATTTAGTCTGCTCCCTGACTTGGTCTCTGCCTGCATCTAAGTGGCTCTATTTTTAAATCCCTGAGGATGGTTGGCAAAAATGTTAAAAAAGAGACAAAAATCTCAAAAGGTAAAAAGCCCAATGAGGGCTATTTTGTTTGGAGAACAGAATGACCTTTGGGTTCTGTCCCCACAGGGTAGTGCATATTTCAAGGAGAGCCATGGGCTTGGGAACCTGGCTTAGACCCTGGCTTTGCTACCTACCCCTGTGTAAACTTGGCCAAGCCCCTCTCCTCCCACACTTCAGTTTCCATTATGTGAAAACAAAGTTTGGACATTGATTCCCCTTCATTTATCTCTGGTGATTCAAAAAAGTGTTCCCTGCTGGAGAAGTCGCGGAGCTGGGACCTGCAGCCTGAGTGCTAGTTTTGTATCTGCAGCTCAAATGCAGTGGGACCTGGATGGGAACCCAGTGTCATAAAATGCATGTGGTTGATGACACTTGGGGTCTAGCCAGTGCCTTTCAGTGCCACCAATTGTTGGGTTCTCCAGTTCAGATACCAAACATGTACAGCTACCAGAAAACAGTGTTACATGTGGGGTGGTGCCAGTGACCTGGGCAAGGTGACTTCTGAGCTAGCCCTGGCAGAGAGCAGTGGCTGGCTCCTGCTGGGTGCTGGTGCCTCTTCGCTCATCATCTGGCAAAGTGAGCTCTCCACCATGTGGCAGAGGGTTCACCCCATGACTGCCTTCTTTGCAGAGGGTGGTAGCCTGTGATAGCTCTGTCCCTCATTTTCTCTGCACAAGGCCTTATGTCCCCTCTCTGACCTGGGTGGCCTGTAACTCATTTGGGAGTGATTAAAATGCAAAGCAATGTCTAGGGCTAGCATGAAACCACCGAGCAGTTCCACTTTGCTTGCTCAATGCCATGTGAGCAGTGCAGCTGTTAGAGGTCACTATGGTGCGAAGGAGCCTCACTGGTCCACATGGATTATCATCAAGAGAAAAGGATACCAGGCCTTCCCAAGGGACTGCCCTGCTGGGAACGCTGGACTTTTCACCCACAGAAACTGTGAGAGGCAATAAAATGCTGCTGTTTTCAATGCTGCATTTGGGGGGCGTTGTCCCAGCTACAGCTGACTGAGATGATCAATATGGGGCAGAGAGCAGTGTCTCCTGTAGAAATTCTGGGGGTGGCCCAAGGTCAGAGTGGGGGCTTTGGAGTGGAGGGGCTTGGCCAATGAAATGAATGCAGAAGTGACAGCTGCTGTTCCCCAGTGGAAAAGCTTATTTGTGATTCTCTTTCCTGCCTTGGCAGACCCTAAAGCCTCTTTCTGGATTGGGATGAGGTGGCGTAAGGCAGTGGAACACCTGTTAGTCTGAGCTGGTCCCTGAAGATGTGCAAGGAGGAGACACTTCTCATCAAGCCAAACCTCTGTGATCTTAAGCCATTGAGATATGTGGGTTGCTTGTTACAGCAGCAAAAAATTACCTTACCTGACTATACATGATAAAAACAAGAAATAATAGTTGTGTTTCCTGTTTTATTGTTGAGAATCTGGGGCATGTTGAACATTCAGTTAACTGTCAGATCTTACTGTAATGTCAATTCCTGTGTTTTAGGAAGGTTCTCCCCCCCGCAAAGCATACCCTCACACAAGCATATGAATGGGAGAAGTTGATTTGGAACTTTATGGCAGGCAGCACTGCTGTGTAGAAGGGGTCCAAGTGCAGATGTGAGGATGCCTAGCCAGGGTCCAGTCCTTCTAGGGATGTCTGGGTGAATGTTCAACATGCTTCCCATCCCCTGATCCAGAGGTTGTGGAAACTAGATCCCTTTGTCAGCTTCTGTTGCTCAGTGGTTAAGAGCAGCTGGGGGTGAGGGTGTCAGCTTCAGGCCCTGGATTTGCCCTGGGCACATTCTAGATATCCTTGAGCCAAGCGGGGAAGAAGTCCTTGGACAGAGTCAGGATTTCAGTGAGAAGCTGTTAGTAAGATTGGGAAGGGGAGGCGACTATAGTATTTCACAGATGAGGAGAGGAAACTGTCAGGAAGGCATCGAGTCCACACCGGAAGCTAGGCTTGACCCAGCCCCTCTCACTTCCAGGCTTGAGTTCTGGATTGCCCAGGCTCCTGGTGGGAAAAGCACACAACTTCAGGGTGAGAACTCCAGCCTTGCATTTTGTGGGAAGGCACTGTGTCTCCTTTGCTGTGACTAGCAGCTTCACATCTGTGGAAATGTCCCACAGGGAGCAACCTGAGACTCCCGCTTGTGCGCAGGATGCTATGTGGCTGCCAGCTGGACACCAGCCTGTGGATTTGACGTGGGGAGTTGGGCACATGTCCCAGTTCCTCCCCCAGTGGCCCAGACTGATGGCAGAAGGGCCACAGGGAGAGCAGCAACAACCCCCTCCCCTACTCCAGAGTGCTGTTGGCAGCAATCCCCTTTAGTCTGTCCAGGAAACTGAAGCAAATCTTCTAACCCCGGCTCTGCCTTCCTTAGCTGTGTGACTTTAGTTAAGACACTTTACTTCTCTGATTTGGAGGTTCTCATCTTTGAAATGAGAGGTTGAGGGTATATCAAGCTAGGCAGCCTTGAGCTAAGGGATGGTACTGTGATCAACCAGGCTTAAATCCCAGCACCCCCACTTCCTGGCTTGGTAGTCTTGTGCAGGCAGCTTCCCCTCAGTGAACCCAGTTTCCACATTGGAGGATGAAATGAAGGTCTGTTGTGGTGAGATTGTGCATGCTAAAGGGCCTGGTGCTCTACAGTTATCTAGTGCCCTCAGTTTCCTGGATGGCTGTGCAGGTCTTAGCTTTACAACCCATGCTGTGTGACTATAGGGGAAAGACAAGACCTCTCTGGACCTTGATTGTAATACCTGGCCCTGCTTTGTCCAGAATTTTGGCAGAGGGCTGGTGAAATGCCAGGTATGATGTGAGGCATCAGGATCCCTGAGAAAAGAGCAAGGATCCGACACAGTATTCTCATCTGTCTGTTTTTTTAAAATTTTTGTTTGTATTTTTGTGTTTGGGTTGTTGGGATTGAACCAGGGTCTCATGCACCCTAAGCTCATGTTCTACCATTCAGCCAGACCGCAGACACTTTGATCTGCCTGTTTGATGGGCAAAGCTGCCAAGGCTTAGCCAGGGACATGAGGCCTTTGGATGGGCTGTGGCGCCTATCTGTCCTGGGACACACTCTTGTCTGTCCTCTGCCCCTGGAGACACCTCTCTCCCTTACCTCTGATGTTCATTCTCACCTGGGCCTCCATCCATGCATCTGGCCACCCTTTGAACGCACTTCTGTCTTCTAGGGCCCCAGGGAAGAGAGTTCAAGTTGAGACTTCAAGAAAACATAATTGCACTGGGGTGAGAAGTATATAAATAACTCAAGACCCAGAAATGTGTTTTAATATATGCAGTACAAGACCATTGAGATTGTTCTTTTTTTCTTTTTTTTTTAGTACCAGGGATTGAACTCGGGTCGTTGCGCTTGTGCAGCAGGCAGCAAAACCACTGAGCTAAATCCCCGGCCCTCATTGAGATTGTTCTTGTGCTGTGTGATGCTGTGAAGCCACCTGAGATGAGAGTCTGCATCCTTGTATACCTCATGAACATAAAAGGTTTTGGTTTTAGGGCTGAAAGACAAAATTTCCCTGCAGACATCCCGGAGAGGCCACTGAGACAATGGAGGGGGCAGGAATGGGGGTCCCTCTCCAAGACTGAATCATTAGGGCTGCTGGGGTGGAGGTGAGGCCACTGAATACCATCAGACATTCACTGTGGTTTGAGCAAGGGGGGATGCTCTCTGGGGTTCCCTCTGTTGAAGGTCAGGATTCACCCACACTGAGCTGAAAGCCAAATTCTCATTCGTTCTGTGGTGAGGAGAGAAGAAACTCCAAGATTTATTGGTTTGGGCTTTTACCACCTATGGGGAAGTGACTGGTCAAAAGAGATTTAAATGACTTTTAAAAACAAAGAAGTGTGAAGAAAAACAGAACCAATACACCAAAACCTAGAGGATGCAGAAAATCAGTGTTAGGAGGGGAATTTATAGATGTAAACGTTTATGCTAGAAAAGAAGATCTCAAATCAATAGCCTAACTTTACAGTGTAAGGAATTAGAAGAAAAAACAAACTAAATCTAGAGATAGAAGAAAGGAAATGATAAAGATTAGAGCTAAGATAAATGAAACAAAATAGAAAAACGTTAGAGAAAGTCAACAAACCCAAACATGAGTTCTTTAAAATGACCAAAAATAAAATAACTGACAACTGACAAACCTTTGTTAGATGCGGGGCGGGGGGGGACTCAAATTATCAAAATCAGAAATCTGGGGACATAACTATGGATCCTACAGAAATAAAAAAGGATTATAAGAGAATGCTATGAACAGTTTTGCCAACAAATTGGATAACTTGGGTGAAATGGGTAGATTTCAAGAAATACACAAGCAATCAAGACTAAATCATAACAAAACAGAAAATCTGAACAGACCTCTCACTACTATGGAGATTGACTCTGTAATCAAACCCTCCTGATGGCCTGGGGGTGCAACTCACTGGTAGAGTCCCTTTCTCTACTAGTGTGGCCCTGAGTTCCATCCCCAGCACTGCAAAACAAAACAGGCAAAACCCTCCTGACAAAGAAAAGTCCTCATCCTGATAAATTTGATCACTGGTGAATTCTACCAAACATTTAAAGCAGGACTAAAATCAATAATTCTCACACACTTCCAGAAAACTGAAGAGGAGAGAACATTTCCTGACTCATTCTACAAGGGCAATAAAACTGGTACTGAAGTCAGTCGGCACAAGAAAAACTACAGACCAATAGTCTTTACGAATATTGCTATAAAATTGTCAACAAAATACTAGCAAATCAAATTCAATAGTGTCTTGCTGAGACAAAATATCCAACATCCAAAGTTAAAGGAGGAAAGGTTTATTTAGCTCACAGTTTGTAGAAGTTTAAGTCCATAATTGACTGGCTCCAGGGCAGAGTGGCACATAGCAGAGTGGCATTGCAGGGCAGAAATAGTTCATGGCACCCACACAGTAGCAAAAGCAACAAGGGGACCTTAACAGTGTCTTTCTGCCCCTTTTATCCATACCACTGGGATTAGGGCAGTGCCACACCAATCAGTGTATTGGTTTAGTAATCACACGCCCTTAATCCTAGCATCACACACTCTAGATTCAGTCACCTATGACCGTATAAGGGGATATCTAGACACAAACCATAACAAATAGCACATTAAAAGGGACATACATCAAGACCAGGAGGGATTTATGCCCAGTATGCAAGGATCTTTCAACATACAAAAGCAATCAATCACAGTGATGTAAAAAAATGAACAAAAGGAAAAACTACAGGAACATCTTGTTGATTTCAGAAAAAAATCATTTGACAAAATCCAACACCTTTCATGATTAAAAAAAACACAAGCAATCCCAATTCAAAAATGAGCAAAGGACTTGATTAGACATCTATCAAAAGCAGAGATATAAATGGCCAGCAAGCACATGAAAAGATGATTAACATCACAATGATTAGTGAGATGCAAATTGAAACCATCTTCTATAATGAAAATGGCCATTATGGAAAACAAAAAGCAGATGTCTGTGAGGATGTGGTGAAATCAAAACTTATATTTACTGCTGTGGGAATGTAAAATGGTGCAAATAATACAGAAGATAATATAGTGCTAAAATATTAAAAATAGAATTACTATATGATCCAGCAATTTCACGTCTGAATATATACTGTACCTACAAGAATGGAAAGCAAGAACTGGATGAGATGTTTGTGCACCCATGTTCAAAGCAGCACTATTGACAATAGCTACAACATGAACCAGCATAAGTGTCTGTGACAGATGAATGGATAAACAAAATGTAGTTCATCCATACAATGAATATCATTCAGCCTGAAAGGGAAGGAAATTCTGACACAAGATACATCATGGATGAACCTTGAGGATATTATGCTAAATGAAGTAAGCAAGTCACAGACAGCAAACAGTCAAATTCATAGAGACAGAAAGTAGAAATGGTGGTTGTCTGGGGCTGAGGAAAGGGGAAAATGAGAAATTTCATGGGGACAATGTTTCAATCTGGGATGATGAAAATGTTCTGGAGATGGATAGTGGTGATGGCTGCACAACAATGTGAATGTGCTTAATACCACTGAAAAATACCCTGAAAAATAGTTAAAGTGGTAAATTTTATGTTATATATATTTTAACACAATAAAAATATACGTATGTAATACAAATAAAGAGATGTGATTGATGAGGCCATGGTGTTGTAGAACATTTGTTATCATCGGTGCACAAGAGCTTTAGGAAATTTGGACAAGGCATGCCACAGAGGCTGGGGCCAGGAGTGAATGATGTCTCCATGCAGGGCCTGGGAAGGAAGGGTCACAGGCAGAAGCCCCGTGCAGCTCCCGGAGGAGCCAAGGGCTGTCCTTGGCAGGGTCCTGACTGGGAGCACAGAGGCCACATCACAGAAAAGCCTGGCCATGGCGGCTGCTACAAAGGGCTCACAAAGTTCTGCAGGGGCTCAGCAGGTGCCAGCTGCATGGTCACAGCCATGTGGCTGCAGAAAGAACACTGGTACTGAGGAGTAGGGCAAATCTTGGGAAGAGGCAACCCCCAGGATGGGGAAGACCTAGGGGATGGCAGGCAAGTCCACTCTGCAGTATCCCCAGCCTCCCTCACCTCCTTCGCCACCTCCCCAAGCACCCACAGCTGCCCTGCTCACTCTACTCCTGGGGATAGAGGGTCCTTGAAGTGGTCCTTACAGCTGACCTTGGACCTGGTGAGTCTCACAAGCTGCTTGTTAAGGGGAGGGGAACAGGACATCCGGATTTCTGCAACATGGCTCCTGGAAAGAGACTCCAGGTCTTATAAAGCAGCTCGCTTGTCTTGCTTGGGAGGATTAGGAGTCTGGGTGGGTGAAGGCTGGGAGACCACCCAAGAAGGAGACATAACTGCTAAAGCTTTCTAATGTGGCCCAAGCCAGTGACAATCATCTCTCAGTGTCCTTGGGGAACTGGTTCTAGGTCCACCCTGCTGAACACACCAGAATCTGTGGGTGCCCAAGTCCCTTATATAAAATGTTATAGTTGCTCTATTTTATTATTGTTGCTAATTTCTTACTGTGGTTAACTTATAAATTAAACTTTATCATAGGTTTATATGTATAAGGAAATATACAGGCTTCAGTACTATCTGAGGCGTAGTATATACAGTATATACATAGTATATATAGAGTTCAGTACTATCTGAGGTTTCAGGCACCCTCGATGGGTCTTGGAATGTAGCCCCCTTAGATCAGGGGAAGCTACTATAAGAGTGTTACTTACAAGTATCAAGAAAGGGAATTTATTGCCATAAGTAGTTTAAAAAGTCCAAACAGTGTGATTTCAGGGAGGACTTGATCCAGGTATAATGAGGTCTCTGAGGTCCTAGCCATCTCTGTCTCTCAGCCCTGTCATCTGCAATGGAGTCTCTGTTCTGAGATCCCATTCATTCTCAGAAGGAAGAAGCAGTGGTCTTATCTAGTGTTCTCATAAAAGAGTGACTCCAAGTGGACCCACAACCAGGAGAATGGAACAGGCTATTTAGTTCAGCCTGAGTTATGGGATTGACCCCAGAATCCAAGTATGGAAGTACAGTCATCAGAATCACATCAATCCTCAGAGGAATCAGGGATTATTGAGAAGGATGAAGACAGAAATTGGTGCTGAGTTCAATGTTGAGTGCTGAATTTTAAGAGAGATCACAATAAATGAAAAAAAAATACACAGATGTTAGACATACTTTTGGCTGCAAGTAACAAAAACCTCAGACAACAGTGGACGCAGATAGGAGACTAGGGTTCTGCAGATGCTGGCATTGACATAACTTCTCAGTGGTGTCCCAAGGAGCCAGTCTTCACCTGCATTCTTGCTTCTCCACTCTTGGGCGTTCCCTTTTATTCTTTCAATTGTGTGATGACAGCCATAGCCCCAGAGATAATATTGGTGTTCAAAGCAGGGAATTTGGGGACAGAATGATGTGAATCCACAGAATGTGTGACCATTCTGCCCTTAGGAAGGCTGAGAAGGGTGTGGAAGGGGTTGGGGTAGCCATCAATGGTGTCTTCTACAACCAACCAGGGCAGTGAAGGGATTGGAAATTAAGACATATCTGGAATAAGGAAGGCACAGGGTCTATAAGCCTAAAAAGAGGATACTTGTTATATATTTTGGTGTTTTTGTTTTTGATATAGGATCTTGCTGTGTTGCCCAGTCTGGCGTTGAATTTGTGATCCTCCTACCTTGACTTCCCAAGTAGCTGAGTTTACAGGCATGTATCCCATGCCTGATCTGCTTTTATATATCCTAGATATGTGTTTCAAATGTCTTCTCTTTCAATAGTGTCTGTCATGAACACCATTAATTTAACATAGTCTAATTTATCATTTATCTTTTTATAGGTAGTACTTTTTGCAGTGCAGGGTTGGAACCTAGCACCTTACACACTCTAGACAAGTGTTCTGCCATTGATCTACATCCCCTATTGGTAGCAGTTTCAGTATTCTGTTTAATAAATCCAAGGTTGAACCAGGTATGGTTACACATGCCTGTAATCCCAGCATTCGGGATGCTGAGGTAGGAGGATTGCCATGAGTTCAAGGCCAGCCTGAGCTACATAGTGTGTTCAAGCCCAGACTAAAAAAGAAAAAAGAAATCCAAGGTCAAGAAGATAGTATCTTGTGTTTTAAAATAGCTTCATGGAGGTACAATTCATATACCATGCAATCCACCCATGAAAAGTATGCAATGCAATGGTTTTTAGAGTACTCATAGAGTTGGATAGCCATCACCATAGCTAAATGTAGAATATGTTCATCTCTTCAAGAAATGACATCTCTTTTAGCTATTGAACCCTTATTCCCCATCTGTCCCCAACTCCCAGCCCTATGCAATCGCTAATCTATTTTCTGTTCCTGGATCTCTCTGTTTGGCACACTTACTATGGATGGAATCCTACACTATGTGGCTTTTTGCATCTGGCTTCTTTCACTCAGCATTATGTTTTCAAGGTTCATCCATGTTGAAGGATCCATCAGAATTTCATCCCTTTTGATGGCTGTACAATATTCTATTGTGTGGCAATGCCAAGTTTTGTTTGTCCATTTATCCAGTGACAGACATTTGGGTTATTTCCACCTTTTAGCTGTTGTGAGTGATGTTGTTATAAGATGCCTGCACAAATTTCTGTGTGGACATATATTTCTCACAGTTTGTTTTAAAAATTTAATATTTTGCCTTTCAAACGTAGCAGCTCTTCTCTCCATCTGGAAGTTAGTTTTTTGTGTATGGTGTGAGATTAGGGTCAAAACATGTGTTTTTTCATATGGATATGCAATTAGCTCAGCATCAGTTACTAAAAAGACCACCCTTTTCCTAGAGCACTGTATCATAAATTAGGTAACCCATATGTGTCTATGGTTTAGCACTCAATTCTACTCTCTTTGCTTACTTGATCATCCAGTGTCAACATCACATTGCATTACTGAATAGAGCTTATTAAGGCTTTGAGTCCAAGGCACTGGACTACAGTGAACTATTTAAGTTTTGAGAGAGGGTTTCTCAAAGTGGCTAAATTGCCCAGGCTGAGCTGGAACTTGTGACCAACCTGCCTCAGCCTCCCAGAGTACTAGGAGTACAAGGCTTGTGTACCACCATACCCACCCCAAAGGGCTTTTACATGGAGTGAATTTATCACCCTATGAATCTGCTTTATTACTGACTTATCACCTCATATGTGCAGGCCACCCCTGAGCAAGAACAGTTCCCATGTTGTCCTATTTGCTCTGCACCTCCTCTTGGAGGGAGGATGCACAGCCCATTTACACAGAAAGAAACTGAAGCTCAGAGGCAGAGTTGGTGTGAGGCCAGGGTGCTAAGCTGTCCTGGGCCTTGTGGTGCTTGACCTTTCCACACTAGTCCCAAGGTTTGGTGTGGTGGCACCTGGGCTCTGGATGGGACTCTCTGAGGCTCTATCTGGGTGCAAAATTGTATGACTCCTAGAACAAGATTTGAATGTATCCAGCTCAACCCAAACCCAAATGTGAGTAAGTCTTAACATTGTTAAAAGTAAACTAATCAATATGTCAGTCAGTACATTTTCCTAATCCACAGAACTAGAGCCTCACAGTACTTTTTAACCATGACACAGTGAGGGTTAAAATATATCACATGGGCTAGAGATACAGCTCAGTGGTAGAGAACTTGCTTATCAAGTGCAAGCCTTAGGTTCCATCCCCAGGTGCCAAAAACAACAATAACAACAAAAACCAACCAAACAAAATCTAAACACATCACATAATTCATAAATGAAACTTTAAGTTTTTCTTGAAAATCTCCCAGGAAATATGGCTTCTGTGGTGTGGCCTTCCCATGAGCTCCATGGTTATTCTTAGAACTACTAAATCTCTCCATCTGGTTGTCTTATAACTCTTCCATCTCCATATGGCCCAAAGAGAACTCACATCTTCCCCATCTGGTCAACATTGGCCATGATTTTTGGCTAACTGGGGAATTTGGAGAAGTTGAGAAGTTGGAAATATACTTCCCAGAGTCCTTTGCAACTAGGAATACATGGGTAGTGTAGGCTGGGCTTGGCAATGATGAGCCTGCATGGGACTTTGCTGAGCTGCAGCATCTGTAAGGGGCCTCCACAAGTCCTGGGGTCCAGCAGTACCAGTGGCTTATCCTGGGCAAGCTGCAATGTCTGCCCCAGGGACCTGGTGGCATGTATCTTCACACTGGGAGTTGCATAGAGCTTCTGGCTGCAGGACCTCTGCACAGAGCTTCTGGTCCTCCTGCAGACAATGGGAGCTGCTTCATGTTTTCATAAATCCTTCTTTGCCTGAACTGATGGTGTGGATTCTGTTCTTCACAGCTGAGAACCTTGATGATTACATACCCCTCTGCAGGCTTGCTGCTCCTCCATGTCAGTAATGACACCCCACCCCTTCACTTGTTCAGGTCAGAACCCAATAATTATTTCTTCTCCTCTCTCTTTTCTTGCCGTTTCATCCCCAAGTCTTACCCATGTCTCTTTTTTCTAAATCATGCTATTTGTTGGGCTATTCACTGCCATGCCCTGTCCTAAAGCCCAGGACATCACTGGCCCCCTCACCTTTTGCTATGAGTTGAATCTGTCCCCTAAATTCATGTGTAGGAAACCAAATTCCCAAATTCATGTGTGGATGGTATTTGGAGGGCGAGAGGTACCCA